ATATATATATATATATATAATTTTTTTTTTAAGTTATCAATAAAACAAAATTATTGGATTATTGGTGAAAATACCATTTCACACTTTCTACTTCAAAATTGTATAATTCATAATTATTTGCAAAATGTGCTAGCAATTTTCGAGTGAAAATTGTTTCAAAGTAAATCCTACACCAGATGTTTCTGAGTCCAGAGGAAGAAAAGCTTTATCTCCCAAAGTAAATCCAGTAAAGCGTCCAGTACCGGCTGGCGTCCGGGTCCCACACCACCACATCAGCGTCCGCTCCCGGGACAATGCGGCCCTTCCGCGGGTACAGATTATAGATCTTAGCCGCATTCGAGCTTGTCACGGCCACAAAACGATTCTCATCCATCTTACCAGCGGCCTGAAGGACAGAAAACATTACTGAATGAATCTGCAGGTTTGAATGAATCAAGTGAGTCAATGATTCAATGACTCATTCATAAAGACAGTCCCCTGCTTTTTAACTAAATGAATCATTTTCAATATTAATTAAAAAAAGAACACATTAATATCCATTTATTGTTAATATTTATGCAATGTTGAATCAAAATATTTCTTTCTAAAGCTACTTTTGGCAATCTAACACAGTTATAACTTTAAACAATCTTTCTCAGCCCAAATGGATGTGCAATTAATTTGAGATTAATTAGTGAATAATTGGTTGTTGTCGCACCACTCCTCTCTCCCAGATGATGCTCATGCGGTCCTCCACGCCGGCCGCTCCGTGAGGGATCTTGGTGAAGTCTTCCTTCCCCATGGCCTTCTGCTTGGTGTTGAACGCGCGGTGATCCGACGCCACCACGTTGATGATGTCACTGCGTGCACAGGAAACGCATCATCATCACACACACACACACACACACTAATGTCAGAAATATGCACTATTCTATGATGTTTTATAGTATAAATAGTGCGAGTGGTATGTTCACACTGAAAATGTATGCATTGCATAACTATGCACTTAAATAACCGAGAAAATGAAGTGTGGAATGTTGAACACTTTATGCACTCAACTTAAGCGGAGGGGGAGGGGCTATCAGACTCTGATTATTAATGACAAAATAACTAGTGTTGGGGGTTATGCATTACAAGTAACGCGAGTTACGTAATCAGATTACTTTTGTAAGTAACTAGTAAAGTAACGCATTGCTTTTTAATTTAGAAGGAGACATCTGAGTTACTTTTTCAAATCAGTACCAGCAGTTACTTTGTGTCCATGTGTTGAGTGACAGCTCTGGTGTTGCCGTGGTGACAGAAATCAGGAGTGAGTGCAGAGTGTTGTGTGTGAACATGATCTTACTGTAGCTCTAGACTCAATATCAACATGTGTTTACTCATCTCACTGCACACAAACACATTCAGTGCTCCTCATAATCAATACAAACAGTTAAATGCAAACTCAGAATATTATACAAACCTGCAATAATTAAATATGTATAATTTATGTATTTAATCCCATTTTATTAACCAATGTATTTGCTACTGACCTTTGATGATCCAATTTAACCATACTAATAAGCCAAATTACACATTTGTGTTTTGTTTTTAGTAATGGCTGACTAGTGTTGAACTTTCTTCTGCTGCTTCATATTCTTCCTGAGATGAGTTTGAGCGGCTTCCTCTACTGTACAGACGAGAGTTTACATTAACTTCAGCCTGAGGCGTTCACTTCACTTTTGGTGTGAAAGGGCTTTTACGTTTGTAAAAGAAGAACTTTTTTATGTTAAAAACAAACAAGCAAGCCCTGCCCAGATTTTAAAAGTAACTCAAAAGTAACGTAACGCATTACTTTCCATAAAAAGTAACTAAAGTAATTATATTACGTGCAATATTGTAATGCATTAATTTTATAAGTAACTTTTCCCAGCACTGAAATAAATAACCTTATGAAATTCATACACTACATGGTTGAGTACATAGTGTATAGTGTATAGTGTGTCATTTGGGACGCAGTTAATGAGCGAGGTTCTGGAGGTGGGCGGAGCTGTGAGATGATTGGCGGGTGCGTACTTGCCCAGCAGGCCCATCAGGCAGTCGGGGGTGCTGGGGTCGAGCCGGAGGGGCGGAGCTATGACGTGGGCGGCGGCATGAGCCCAGTCCTGATGATAGTAATGCATGCCGCACAGCGCCGAATGAGCCAGTGTGGTCTCGGCGTGAACCACCTTGCCTGAAGCACACGATTAAACACCATCACAGCTTTTTACATCCTCTAGCAGCATTTATACTCATGGACCACGTTACTGCTAAAATTCAGTTTCTCTTTGGAGATTATGAATGAGCGTTTTCAATACAACCCTATATACAGTACTTTTGTGAAAAAGAAGTGCGCTCAAGTGTACTGGAATTGCACTTCAAATCTTAAAATTAAATTTTTAAAAGATTATATTTGCACACAATATAATAAGGCAGCGGCTATTTGCACTGGGCAAAATAGCATATTTTCTTAGTGATCGATGCTATTTACACTATGGTAAAATAACAGGTTTTTCTGCTATTTATAGTACTTATTGCAAATTATCTGCACCTCAGTATTGTAGTACATTATAAAATGGAACGCAATAATAATAATGTATTGAATGTAAATTATCATTTTAATTCAAATTATTAAATGGATGCCACCTTATTGGGACGATAAAGCCCTCCCTAACCCTACCTGATACTTTATTTTGAACTTTTCGATTATTTCCTTCATTTTCATTGAACGTAATTGCCATTCCCATGTGATATTGAAATTATTTGAAATTTGATTTGAAAAGGGAGAAAAAAAAAGTTTGGAGAAATGCTGATTTGAACCTGGGTTGATCACATCAAAAAGCACACGCCTAACCATCTACGCCACTGGAACTGTTGTTAGTTCATTGATTATTTTATAGTGCTGACTATCCCAGTCACATGTTGGTGGGCGGAGTTAGTGTCAATAGACACTCCGATATAATAATAATGAAATAAAAGGCTGCGATATGAAAAATAAATAAAGCACACTCACACATGCTAAAGTGCGCTTCTTTTTCACAAGGGTACTGCATACTTTGCAACAACTTTTGAGTGAAATATTAATGTGTGTATATAATGCACACATACACACTTAAATCTCCTCAGAAACTCACCCTGCATCCGAGCGGCAGCGATGACATCAGCAGCAGACACACTGGAGACATTCACCAAGTACACTGGACAGTGAGCCTGCAGTGAAGAGCAGCACATGAGACACACTCACACACACACACTCACACACACACACACACACTCTCACACACACACGCACACGCACACATACACACATACACACACACTCTCACACACACACACAATCACACTCGGTGTTGTTCTCACCCTGTTTGCGATGGTTATGGCTCGGTGTGTGGCCTCTGCCTCCAACTACAGACACACACAGAGAGATAGACAGACATCAGTCATAATGAAAGAAAAGACTCAATCACACACAATCACACACTCGCACTCACACTCACACACTCGCACACACACTCACTCTCACACACACACACACACACTCGCACACGCACTCACACGCACTCTCACACTCGCACTCTCACACACTCACTCTCACACACACACTCACACACACTCACACTCACACGCACTCTCACACACTCACACTCGCACACTCACTCACACTCACACTCACACTCACACTCACACACACACTCACTCTCACACACACACACACACACTCGCACACGCACTCACACGCACTCTCACACTCGCACTCTCACACACTCACTCTCACACACACACTCACACACACTCACACACACACGCACTCTCACACACTCACACTCGCACACTCACTCACACTCACACTCACACTCGCACTCGCACTCGCACTCGCACTCACTCACACTCACGCACTCGCACTCACACTCACACACTCGCACTCACTCACACTCACACTCACACTCACACACACACACACACACTCACACTCACACTCACACACACTCACACTCACACTCACACTCACACTCACACACTCACACTCACACTCACACTCACACTCACACACTCACACTCACACTCACACTCACACTCACACACTCACACTCACACTCACACTCACACTCACACACTCACACTCACACTCACACTCACACTCACACACTCACACTCACACTCACACTCACACTCACACACTCACACTCACACTCACACTCACACTCACACACTCACACTCACACTCACACTCACACTCACACACTCACACTCACACTCACACTCACACTCACACACTCACACTCACACTCACACTCACACTCACACACTCACACTCACACTCACACTCACACTCACACACTCACACTCACACTCACACTCACACTCACACACTCACACTCACACTCACACTCACACTCACACACTCACACTCACACTCACACTCACACTCACACACTCACACTCACACTCACACTCACACTCACACACTCACACTCACACTCACACTCACACTCACACACTCACACTCACACTCACACTCACACTCACACACTCACACTCACACTCACACTCACACTCACACACTCACACTCACACTCACACTCACACTCACACACTCACACTCACACTCACACTCACACTCACACACTCACACTCACACTCACACTCACACTCACACACTCACACTCACACTCACACTCACACTCACACACTCACACTCACACTCACACTCACACTCACACACTCACACTCACACTCACACTCACACTCACACACTCACACTCACACTCACACTCACACTCACACACTCACACTCACACTCACACTCACACTCACACACTCACACACACACTCACACACACACACACTGTCGGGTCTGTCACCTCCTCTGGTCGACTGATCTCCATCCCCTCAGGACCACTGATGCCCAGATCCAATGCCTCTTTTGCCCCCTTAACAAACACACACAATAAAACACATCAGAGAAATAAAGAGAATTCAATCGGTGCAGTAAGATATATGGTTTGGTTTTTTAAATAAAATAAAATAAAATAAAATAGTAGCATGCTATACTGTTGTCACAAGACATTTTATTAAATGTTTATTTAAGTAATTATGTCCAATTATCATGTCCGGTAAAACAAAATAAATCATTAAAAGAGTGTTATGTTATATTTCTATGAAGTAAGTAGGAATCTGTGGCATCTGACAGCACCTCGTGCACCAGTTCTCCGTTCTCGTGTGTGAGTGAGTGAGTGAGTGAGTGAGTGAGTCAGTGTGTGAGTGTGTGTGTGTGTGTGTGTGTGACCTTGGTGCCGCTGTAGAAGTCATCCTGTGTGTTTGCGTTCATGAAGGTCTGCTGCAGGTGAACGCTGGAGTCGATGCCGCCTGGAATCACCAGCTTCCCGGACGCATCAATCACTTTGGCTCCGCCTGGAACCATCAGATCCCGCCCCACCTGCTGGATGAGCCCGCTCTCGATGTAAACATCCGCCTCCTGAGTGACATCATCATTAACGACCCGCCCACCTTTAATGAGAATCCTCACGGAGCTCGAGCCAGTGGCCATTATACTGGACGGAAGAAAAGACATCATTCAGATTTTATTTTAATAATTGTAATAAATATTAATACATTTAAATTTAATTCAGTATTATTAATTATCAATATTAATAATTATTAAATAATTCACTTTCATTTGTATACATTTCAATCAATTTAATATTAATGATAATAACTCCATTATTTCATTTAATTATAATAAATTTTTATCATCACATTTGTTTTTAGCTGTTCCATTATTCACTGAGCAGAAAACACACAGCTTAATTTCACTCGATTCCACTCGCATCAGAAGGTTTTGATATTAAAAGCATCACACCACCATTAAATGCATAAACATCTATAAATACACTGCTGTCCTGTAAGAGCGCTGTATGTGTGGAAAAATAGGTCATCCTTCATTTTTAAGTTGCACATGCATTATTGTTCATTACTGCTTGCATGAACACACACACACACACACACACACTCACACACACACACACACACACAAACACACACACACAC